ATCAAAATGAAATTGCTGTTTGTTTCTTTGCAAGTGTCGAAGTTTCAACTAGGTTAAGATTGTGATATAAGTCTTTCATTGTTACTTCTAGATGTTCCTGCTGAAGCGAACACAAGAATGAAGCTAATATCTGAAGTCTCAAAGCTGCAGAGCATTGTTGATGCTATTAAAGGGGAGCTCAGGATGAATTGTGTCTAGATATTCCAGTTGAAGCCAACGCAAAACTGAAGATATTAGGTATAATTTGGAAGTTGTTGATGCTGTTGATAGGAGCCTAGCTCTATTAATGATAAGAATAGATGAAGTAGTAGCACTAACAATGTTCTGAAGAGATCCAAATCTTATCAATCTTATGAATCTTTTGATTAACGTAGGGAACTCACAATTCACAATAGTCTGCCTGTACCTTTTCATATTTTTAGTTTGTATTTTTTTTTTGTGTTGTTGAGGGTTTTAAGTAAAGAATCAAACCTCTTATTCTGCAATTTTATCCATATTTGGTATTCCCCCTCACCCAAAACTCTTTTATACTAATGTTCCAATTAATATCTTGCCTTTACTCCTTTTCATACTCTTGATGTATGTTACTTCCCCAACCCATTTTCAAGTATGCATTTTTATTTTGGTTTGTCTCACGGTTAGTTATTGATTTCATTCTACGACATATATTAGGTAACTACCACTAGATCTAAAATGAACAAATGCGAGTCATTTGTTGAGGACAGAGTAAGATATAACGTAGATAGCGGCCAGAGTAACTGAGTAAAGGACTTCTGTAGCAATGCTATCTATTTTCACTCACAGGTTTGTCAACCCATGATCAGACATTTTGGTTACCTAGAGTAGTAGCATCAGAGTCTATAGAATGTTGATCCAATGCAGTTTTACAAAAGATCATGTTTTGAACTCATTTAACAACAAAAAAAAAATGCATTTGCATTATATCATCGAACTAAAATTGAGTGCCCAAGTTCCAATGCTACTGCCACCAACCAAATCACTGACAAATAATATTCTCTCTTAATCCCAAATTCCAGCAATTTATTTGTTAGTTAACTGTAACAATAGCAAGCAATCAAAATCAATTAGCAAGCATTACTAATATGTCGGTTAGAATTATGTAAATCATAACACTTGATATGTAAATCATAACACTTGATATAGTTAATGCTTCTTTGCTATCTTAGAGCACCAAAGCACCAACATTTCCTGCTTCCTAAGAGCAAGAGCATCACTGACTTTCAGTCTTTTCTTCTATCTCCTCGACAGACGATATCAGCTCAATGGGAAATACGTCATGTGTCCCTGCCGTCATTGGTAGTAATTCGGGGTCCAAGGTGGTGAGATGGGACAGAACTTTGAGCGTCTACCCTAGGCTGATGAAGGCATCAGATGTAATGGTCGACAATCCAGGACAATTTATCTGCCCAGCAACCTGTCTTCAAATAGGGCACCGTGTTTCTGGGCTTGCAGCTGATGACGAGTTAGAACCTAGGATACTGTATTTCCTTCTTCCAATGGAACTTTTTTATTCAGTGCTAACAATGAGGTTAGTGATCTGAATAACAAGGCACATAGAGCAGCAAAGTTTGGTAGCTTTCATAACTTGGGATTTTTTTTTCCAGGTTCTGTAAGTTTCCTTCAGACAGAAAGAGATCAGAATCAAATGGGCAAATAACAGAACCAGATGCGTCCATCACAGTTTTTGTGAGACAGAGATCATGGAGACCTGCACTAGAAACCATTGTCGAAGCCTGCTAGTAAATAAAAATAGTTCTTTTTCTTTTTTGTTTGAACAATAATATCAGAAAGCACAAGTTTTACTCAGGTTTGAAAATAATACCAAGTCAAAATTGAATGAAAAATAGAACAAGGTGTAAAAAATAAAGGAAGATAAGAATTGCAAAAGGCAGATACTATTTTTCATATACGAAGCAAATTAGCAGCGAGCATTGTAATTACAACTGCACATTGATATTGTCAAGTGTCAACTGTGAGCTGTTGTTCCTACACTAATCATCCCACTAATTTTGTCCCATCGATTACGAAGTACAAAATAGACTGCCAATGGAATCCCCTTCAGCTTCAAAATTAATCAGCATCACTTTTTTTTCACTACAATAACAGCAGTTACAGCACCATGAATATTTCCAAAATCAGCCGACGGAGGCTCAGATCTATAGTTAGACTATCAAGTTTTTTAATAGTATGAAGATAATACTTGAAATGTACAATATCTCAACAAAACTCTTTATCGCCGCTTCTCGAAAAATCTTCACGCTTCTGATAAGCAGATAGGAAACACACTTTGATTCTTCTGCAGGAACCTGCCACCACAAATTATGCGGCAAGCACATCTTCAGTACTATGGGATTAGTTTGAAAATTGCAAAGCTTTTAAAGCTATCATAACAAAATAATCCACCACTTTATCACCTCATATAGGTAAATAAAGGGTCTGTCTGAATTCCTTGATAGATATGTAGGGAAAGAGGGATTCCCAAATTCTTTTACATGTCAGATTGAAAATTTAATAAAAGCCCAATGGTCAAACCGTCAAAAATTAAAATGGAAATTTTTGCAAAATGAATCCAAAGAAGTAAACCTTTTTTGTCTCACTACAGTTGCAAAGCTGCTGTTTTTTGTTTTCAAATAGTACGCGAGTATAATTCTGCTTAGTACTTACGGGAAGTACATCTGCAAATAGATACAACAGACGAAGAAGATGCTCAGCACCATACACAGTCGACGGAGACTTATTCTCTGTAATTACTTCTTGATATTGTTCATGCTCTTCGTTATAAAGAAGCATGATTGGCAAACTTTTATTAAAATAAGCACATAAGCCACTAAAAACTTCACCAAGTGACGTAGACTTTCTGTGTCAAAAGAAAAGAGAGCATCATCACTCACCAGCTTTCAAGCAAGAATACCAAAATTAACAGCAATGCCTCCTCCAGTCCTCCACCCAAGAAAAAGATTGCAAAATTGCCCAGCTGGTACATGCTTATATCAAAGTTATTAGATTATAGGGTCAAATGGTCCATGGATCATATAACCTATCAATATCCAAAAAGAATTATAACCTATCAATGGTCCAGGGCCCAGCCCTCATCCCTCACACCCTGCCCATATAATATTACTCATTCTGAGCGAACAAAAGAAAGAGGGTACTCCCTCTGTTTCATAATTATATTTTCCTTTGAATTAATATTGTACAACACAATGATCATTAATCTTGTAATGTTCATTGTATCAAAAATATAATTCTACAATGTGTGTGATGTGCACCATACACCCTGGTGTATAATCTACTAATTGTATTCTCCTCCCTTACTTTCCCTTCAAAATTGTTATCCAAACATAGTGTTAAGCAATCTAAGACTTTAGTGCTTTTATTCAAAAATTCACCAACACACAGCTAATAAAACCTAATGCCCCTAAAAATACCCAAAATATCAATAATGAATGACATTGTTATCGAACTAATTGAACAATCACAGGGATAGGACAATCAATGCTCCCAAACGACAAAGAGCCAAAAAACATCTAAGAATACAAATCTATCCCTTGACAGGCCAATAAGAGATTCTGATCATTCTATATGTGAAAATTTTATCGATTTGCTAGATAAAACACATAAACAGCTTTGCACGCTGAGCTTAAGGAAGTTTCCTACACGTACAAACCACAATTGAAATAGTTTCCCTACAAGAGTACACATACCACTTTAAAAAAAAAGGAAAAAAAGAGTTTAAATGCTCGTCTAATTAAGGCCATGACTGATTTAAAAATTAGGTACACCTAGGTGCCTGTATCAAGAAAAGAATGGTTCAACCATGCATGTACTTGGATGATTTTGTATACCACAAGCTCACTTCAGTTGAGATCCTTTACTTTCACAATAACACTCCAGATCTTAGATTTGCTGGTGTCACGGTAGGCGGACATTTTGCTTTTACTCCCTTGTCTCGTCCATTGATATTACTTCTCAAAATTTAACTGACATAAACTATATAATCGCATAGGTTTCTCTTGCCAACTCGTCTTAACAATCAACAGATTCTTTAAGGGTGTTGTTAAACGTCCTTCACAAATTACAAGGTGACGCTCGCATTTTTTATTGAATTTCCTATTTTGCCCCTCATATATAAATACTCAGAAAACCGAGTTACGAAACTCACAAGTCATTTCTCAACCCCGACACTCTCTCTCTAAAAAAAGGCAAGAATTTAAAAAAAAATCAGAAAAAAAAAAACAGAAATAGAAATGTGGGACTTCCGCCTGAAATTTCCGGAAGTTTCCCCAGACTTCCGGAAATTTCAAGCGGAAGTCTGGTGTTCCGTTTTTTTTTTTCCTTTTCTTTTGTTTGCTGAATCTGCTTTTGTTTTTTTTTTTTTTTTATCTTTTTTTTGTTAATTTTTTTTTTCTTTTTTTTGGTGAAACTGTTTTTTTTATTTTTTTTTGTTTGTTTTTTGTTTTTATTTTGTTTGGTGAAGCAGGGTTTGTTTTTTTTATTTTGTAAATTTTTTTTTTCTTTTGTTTGGTGATGCTGTTTTTTTTTATTATTTTTTTTTCTTTTGTTTGGTGATGCTGTTTTTTTTTTTATTATTTTTTTTTCTTTTGTTTGGTGAAGCTATTTATATTTTGTTTTGTTTTTTATTTTTATTTTTATTATTGTTATGTATTGTTGATATGTTTATTTATTATTTTTTTCCATTTATTGTTATTGTTACGTATTGTTGATATGTTTATTTATTATTTTTTCCATTTATTGTTATTGTTACGTATTGTTGTTATGTTTTATGTATTGTTGTTATTATTATGTTTATTTACTTTATTTTTCATTTATAGTTATTGTTATGTATTATTGTTATGTTTATTTAATTTTTTTTTTTCATTTATTGTTATTGTTATGTATTGTTGTGATGTTTATTTTTTTTATTGTTGTTATGTTTATTTATTTTTTGTTTTCATTTATTGTTTTTGTTATGTAATGTTGTTATGTTTATTTAATTTGTTTTTTCATTTATTGTAATTGTTATGTATTGTTGCTATTATTTTTGAATTGGAATATTAACGATTCAAGGTTGATATCGTAGTTGTGTGTGTAACTATTAATGAAATTATATATTCTACTTATTTAATGCAGATTGAGGGTTCGGGCGCTCGACATGCAAGATCGAGACGTTTGAATGCATCAGTTAGGAGGGAGTTAGGTGGTGCAGGACCTTCGGAGGCACCGTTTCACCGTGAGCAGCAGTACGGGTCTGCTCGTACTTGGTCGGGGGAGCATCAGTCAGACATGAGCGCCCCCATGTACTCGTCGGGTAGAGTTTCTGTATCTGACGAAGAGGACGACGATGAGCGAGCTAGTCATGCTAGTCGAGATTCAGAGTACGACCCTCAGGATTACCGTGTTGTGTATAGGGGTGACCATGGGAGATATGGTAGTAGTAGTGAACCAGGTGAAGGTTCTACCAGCTCGTCTGAGTCATGGGTGGTTCGGGGGCCGATGCCAGGTGGGCCTGAGGATGGTACTGTCATTCCTAGTTTTGGGGGTCACGTGGTTGCATATCTATGGGGTGGCCAGGAGAGAAATGTTCTGCGGTGTTTGAGCAGGACACAGTTGTGTACTGAGTTGGGTAACTGGCGCGCTCGTCTTCCGCAGGAGCACCTGGAACTGATTGATGGCAGTGGTCTATCTCACTTACCCGGGATCATGTTCCGGCGATTTGACTGGCCCCTGATTTCTGCTTTTTTTGAGAGATGGCAGCCAGACACGAACTTGTTTCACGTGCCTCCAAATCATTGCGAATAGCGATGATCTGATTACCAATGTGACAATGAACTCGGGCCCATACGGTATCCAAAGAACCTGCACATTACCAAAAAAAACGTTATTATTCACAACAAACATAAATACAACAACCAAAAAACGAACCTGTCGAAGAATCAAACCACATCTTGACGGCCGAATGCTGGCTCTCAACTCTACATGTGCTTGTGTTGCCAAAATGAAGAACTTGGTTTGTCCAAAATGTCACAAACTTCATTTTATGACAAAGCCAAGTCCTCTCAACATACTCTATCACCGTTGGATAACTTGCCCATTTCAGTTTCATCATCTCTACAGCAGCCTCATAATCCTCCTCGGTTGCAGCGTCCATCACACGTTTCCATCTCCCGTTTTTGAATGTCGCACCGACCTTTTTTCTTTTGAACATATCAGTGACACGAGCCTCAACATCTTTGTTAATATGCCATCGAAAAAGTAAGTGTGAGGTCCCTGGAAACACTTCCCTCAATGCCGCAACTAGCCCCAGCTCACGATCAGTCAAGAAAACCGACGGTTCCTTATCAAACCCGATCAAGTCTCTCAATCTCTGCAAAACCCATTGATAGCTGGTCGTGCACTCGTTGCACATGAAGACGTAACCGACGAGGAAATTTTGATTTGTCGGTGTCACACCAACTATCTCAAAGAACGGCATTCCGTATCGGTTGGTCTTGTATGTGGAATCCATACCGATCACATACGGGTACGTCCGTAGGATGTCTACCATGACTGGATGCGCCATGAAGGCGTGCTGTAAAACGCCTTGATCATCAGACAATACCCAGTAGACATACTGACTCTGTCTAGCCAAATGTAGAAACTGCTGAACAACTCCTCTCCCATCTGACATCTCGATTCTGAAGTCATTTCGGCAGTTGTAGATGTGTCTGATGTTTGGATGATCCTGAGGAAATTGCTCGGCAATAGTCGCCATGATGTTACATGGTGCTACCTTAGACTTGGTCATGTTACGCACAACCTGCTTCGCTTCCGGGCTTAACCCGCTTATTTTACGATGGCCCTCTGGATACGCAATCATTGGATGGTTGTGGGTCCCAATTACATCATTTTTCACTGTGATAAACCAACAGTCGTTGACAAAATTGTAAGATATCTTGATGTAGAAAGGACAACCATTGGCTTTGGTTTTCGTGTCCTTCCTTATTGCGTTCTCAAGATCTCTCGGCTTACTCCTGCGTCCCCGATCACATCTTAAATATCGATATGGCCGACCATCCCTCTGTCTGTTGAAAGACGATTTCACCAAAATAAATCCCAGATTTATTGCAACAGCATCCGCCCAACTAACTGCTTCATCAAACGTTCGAAAAACCTTGTCTGTCACGAAATTTGCACTATAATTCACACCGTCACCGCCGTCCTCAACCTCCGAATCCTTTAACAATAAACCAAACAAATGAGGCAAATATTAGTATTATAAATTTAATAATAATATGTTTATTAATAACAATAATAATAATAATAATAATAATAATAATAATAAAAACTATAATAACAAAAATAATAATAATAATAATAATAATAATAATAATAATAATATAAATAACAATAACAACAATAGTGATAATAATTACAATAACAATAATCATGCTAACAACAACAGTAACAATATTATTAATAATAAGAATAATAACAATAATAATAGTAACAAAAATAATAATAATAAAAATAAAAATATAAAAATCGATAATAATAATAATCATACTAACAACAACAATAACAATAATAATAACAATAATAATAATAATAATAACATAATTAATAATAATAATAACTAACACAATATAATAACACTCACAAAAAAAATCAGCAAAAATAATATTATGAATTGTGAAAGAATAAAAAAAAAATCGAATTTAGGGACTTCCGCCCATTATTTCCGGATCCTAGGGGAAGATCCGCCTAAAAAATCCGGAAGATCCTCCTGGGATCTGGAAATTCCAGGCGTATGTTGGGATCCGCCTAGAATTTCCGGATCCTAGGAGGATCTTCCGGATTTTTTAGCCGGATCTTCCCCTGGGATCCGGAAAAAATGGGCGGAAGTCCTGAAAAAAAAAATTTAAAAACTACGACTTACAGATTCTTCCGACGACTGCTCCGGCGTACTAAAGTTGTCGTCGCTCATCGTCAATAGTGGGCCCCAACTTCCACACTCGGGATTTTAAAAATTGGTCGGAATTACCGTACAATGGTGGTCTCGGGTTTTTTTGTGGGTCGGGATTTTTTAAAGACAAGTGGGGGGTCGGGAATAATATTTAATTTCTTACAAGCTAAAGTGAGTCATGGTGGAGCCTTATATGGAAATAAAACACTCAAGGGCAAAATAGTCAATATACATAAAAATGCGAGGGTGACCCTGTAATTTGCGAACGACGAATAGCAGTTCACTTCTTTAAATATAGGTATCTTGATTAATACATCGGCTTCATTTAGTCAGAGGTACAGACAGAACAGCAGACACCTCACCTCCCCTCTATATCTATATGTTTGTTTGATGAAATATTTAATTATTATCGCAAATCAAAATAAACAGGACAAAAAAGAAGCAGATAGCATGCAAAGGGTGCTATGAAGGAAAATAAGAAAACGCTACAGCGCAATAAAACTAAGCATCATTTTGTTCACCAAATTACACAGACAAATTCATATGTAACACTGAGTAAAAACTAACAGAACATAAAACTGTGTACGAGGGTATAAACTGACAGCTGGAGTTGCTGGGCAGAATTAGTGGAGATGAATAACATAATAATACATTATATTGATTGATAAACTTGAACAACAACAGAAATAAAGCGGTAGATAGTCAAACATTTGAATGACCTGAAACACTCTAAAGCTAACAAATCCATCACCAAAACTCTCATAATTTCTTCGTATCCTTCTGCCTTGTCCCTAACTAACTGACGAGTCTTCTTCAACAAGCTACTGTTAATAGAACTAGACTAAATTCCCAAGTACATTGCAAAGACCTTTGTTTGTGGCAGGTGAACTCAGTATGAGTAAAGGAAGGGCTGGCACATGGATACTGAAAACAGAGAACGGTAACTGCGCTTCAATGGAGAACGTTGAATGCGCTTCAATAGAGCAATTCAATGGCTTGGACGCCTTGGACAGGGGCGGAACTAGGGTGGGTTCAAGTGGGTTCATTGAACCCACTGATTTTTTGAAAAAAAATAAAAACTTTTTTTTAAAAAAAAAAATAAATCAAAATAGGTTTAAATAGAATATTTGTGTATTATATGGCAACAAGTAAAGCTGTAGCCCAGTGGTTATTTTTACCTCCCATCACACAAGAGTTTGTGGGTTCAAAACCCATAACTCACACTTTTTTTTTTGTTTCCTGAGCTTACCTTCCCAGCTTTCCTCTTCCTCATTCCCCCAAATTGCAAAACCCTAACTTCTTCCTCCTTCTCTTCCCGTTCCTCCTCCTTCTCTTCCCGGCGCAGCAGAACACGGTGCAGCAGCCAGCAGACCCACCGTTACAGCCGTGTATGTAGGTAAGTGAATTTGGGATTTTTTTTTGCAAATGTAATTTACTTCTCAATTTGGGGATTTTTTTTGCTAAATCGTTGAATACTTTAAATTCATATGCTAATATACATTACAAATTTTGTCTCCCAACGAGGTTAAATATGAATTTATTTGTTTATAATTCAATGAGTTTCAATTGATTTTTCCGCTTTTTGTCTGGAATTTTCTAGGTTTTCTAGTTTGATTGATTTTATGTATGTTTATGTGCTTTGATATTGCAGTTGTGGCTGATTTGGTTGCTGAGACTAGCAAGTATGTTGTTCGGAAGCGATTCGAGAGTCAGAACCTCGAAGAAGCTTTAATGACTGGTACTCCTTCATCTTCCGTCCTCTTAGCTAAGCCTCTCTTGTTGATCATTTAACTAATCAGAGCAAGTTTTTATGAATTCAGGCAAGATTTTATCGTAAATAGTAATAATTGTATATTAGCATTAAGGAATTTGATTTACATGAATTTGAAATATTGCTAGTTTAATGAAGATTGGTTATAATTTGCTTATTTACTTCTCAAGTTCTCAATTTGGGGATTTTTTTTTGTCACATTGTTGAATTTCATATGCTATTTCGTTTTCTGCCTTCTGGATTTCATTTGCTATTTCATTTTCTGCCTTCTGGATTTCGTTTACTAATTGACTGTAAATCTTTAATTACGATAGTTTTAATTAGTCTTCATAATTTATTAGTCCCAAATGATTTTTTAAATATGGTTAGCTGATTAAATACTGAGTAGTGGTTTTGATTAGCCGATTTGGGGAAAAATCCTCCTGAAATTGAAGTTTTGCTTGACTGCTTGTGAGTTGTGACTGTATATTTGAGTAATGAGTATTTGAGCCGTAATGTCGTATAATAGTATAATTTCTATTTAATTTATAATGATTTATTATTTTATTTCTGATATTCTATTTCATTGATAATTTGATATTGTCATATTGATTATTGAATTTATCATTTATTCATTTATGTACTGAATATTTAATTATTATATTTTTATTCCTTTGTTAATTACGATTTTAAATTTCCGAAGTTTCGAACCCACACTTCGAAAATCCTGGTGACGCCACTGGCCTTGGATCCCTATTAAAAGCCATGACCCATGACCCGCCACAGTTATTAATGGGTTAGATCCGTCTAATAATTAAATGGACTGAGTCTTTATACGATCGTCTAACTATGGGGCAGGGCAGACCTTATAAGGGTTTAGAGTAAACCTGTTTTTAAAAAGTACGGATTATTAGTTTATCTTTACACTTCCATTTCTCAAATACTATCTTCACCACACCAAAGCTTGTATAATTTGTTTCTAATTTAAAAAAAAAAAAATTTAATTTTGAAAACGGCTGAAATTACATTAATTAAATTGAATTTACAATAAACGAAAGGAAAGTATGGTGACATAAGTCAATTACAAATTATCATGTCTTAAATGTGGTTAGGATGAGTTTTCCTCAAAAAAAATGTGGTTAGATGACTCTTTTGTCGTGACCATTATGATAAATTAATTGTGTCATGTGAAATGTGAACTACGCAATTGTATAAAAGGGCACCGTTTCAAAAACCCCCATATAGCACCGGTTTTGAACCGGTGTAGATTTGAGGGGTGCCAAAAAAAAACACTTTACCACCGGTTCAAAACCGTTGCTAATAACGTGTTATTCGCACCGGTTCTGTTCAAACCGGTGCGAATAATGGCCCAAAAAAATAAAAATAAAAAACTTTTGGCATCGGTTCTGTTCAACCGGTGCAAATAATGGCCCAAAAAAATAAAAAATAAAAACTTTTGGCACCGGTTCGATTCAAAACCGGTGCCCTTAATGCCCCAAAAAAAAAAAAATTCTTTTTTTTCACTTAAATTGATATAGGAACACTAACATATATATATATAGTTACATATTTTCATTAAAAAAGACTGTAATATTATAACTTTCGTCCAAAAACATAAAATTAAATTAAAAAAAAAAACAAAACACATTGCAACAACATATCACAATAAACACCTGTAGCTGCGAGTCCACTGTGCTGAAGCTCTTGGCACTCCCATTGTGGGTGATTACAAGTAAATTAATCATAACAGAGTCCAATTGATGGCACTGCCGAAGCAGAACATTCTTTATCAAAAGAACTAAATAAGAGGCACTATTAAAGTCAAATGCAGTAACAAGATGGATTTACAAAGATAATCCTGAACCTTAACATCTTTGCAAGAATTTTAGAGTGGAGCAAGCACAGTGTATGCTCGTTTATGCATTAAAGTGGGAGGGGGGAGCATGAAAGACGAATCAGTAGTATATAGACATATAGAGTACAAATATTCGACAGCCCTCTCAGGGTTGTTATAAGCAGCATGCAAAGCACGAACAACAGTAACCCTGTCCCAACTTCCTCCACCCATATCAAGAATTTGCTGAATGATGCTCTCCAAATTGCTTCTCGTAACTAAATTAGATGCAACCTAGCCATAGACATTTGCGTCCCCTCTACATACAAGTAATTAAGTTCGTGTTTATTCATAAGTTCCACAAATTAGTGATTTTGATGGAAAGCATTGCTTAGAATGTCTAAGAAACAGTTAAAACTCACGAAGCAGCAGCTGCATCAGTTAAGGGACTCACGGCAACTACAACAGCAAGTTCTGTAGCTGTCTGCGTCCTAACATAACAAAATAGTTTTATAAGCGCAGTAACAAAGTATTCTTCTCACCAACATTCTCATCGTGATTCATTTCAACTACAATATTCTACCGACACATATCTATCCACAACACCTCAATATTTCTATTAAACTACAGGAATGTTCTCAAATATCCAAAATAAAATCCAAATATTCGTATTAAAACTGCAGAAATATACTCAAATATCCAAAATACATCCAAACTCCTATTAAATTGCAAGAATCGTAGTATACATCCAAATACTCCTATAAAACTGCATGAATTTTCTTAATTATTCAAAATACATCCAATATATGCATATTCAAGTATCAAATCTCAGTCATTCCACCAATATACTATGTTTTGTTACTTTAGTAACTAAAACAAACAGCATTAAGCACTCATTTAGCAATTGTTAGCTCGAATCTCAGTAAATAGAGCAGCAAAATCAGAGAAAAAAATAATTCAAAATAACAAATACAAATCGAATTAAATCTTTTAGGTCAAAATAAATTCAGACAGATCTCCGCAAAATCGAACATCTAAACCCTAAAAACAGCACAACAAAATAAAATAAAGAAAACTAAAAGAAAACACACAAACCTGATGAGCAACTTTGTAAGAATTCATAGTATCTTCAGCAACAGTTTCCTTCCATCACCAGATTTACAGTCAGCCATATAACAATGATATAATCTCCCTTCATCTTCAAGTAGAAGACTCTTGATTCACTAACAGAACAGTAGGAGTGAGATGAGAATTGAGAAGCTTCATAATACAAGCACAGATATCAAAAAGCTCAAATTCAACGTGCTTTCCATGTAGTACTCATTTAGGACTACGACACAATTCTGACAAGGGATGGAGTCCCATAACTACCTGAATGGGAGTTTATAATATCTATGAGTGCCCAAGCACTCAAAAACATAAGCTGAATGAGCTTAC